GTGTTTATGCGTGTGTTCAGACAGGCCGCGACAGCAGACCCCCAGGCACCGGCTGGACCATTCTCAGGCAGGCAGGCAGAGCGCAGCAAGGCAGAGCGACTGGCAGAAGAGAGGCAAGCGAGTGAGCGAGTGAATCAGCAGCGAATGAGTGGAGGAGCTGTGCGGAGCTGAGCACCGGAGTGAGAGAGAGAGAGAGAGAGCGAGAGAGAGGAGGAGTGTTTTCTTGTGTGCTTGTGGTGTGTGTGTGTGTTCAGCGTTGCTGTGTGCGCTAGTGTCTCCTCCCACCTGTCTCCTTGATGGCTGAAGCTGGCTGTGCTGAGGCTGTGCCTCGAACCGGCCCTGGCTGTGTCTCTACTGACTCCCCCAGCCTCCCAAGGATCGGTCTGCTGCCTGCCGGAGAAAGTGGCCGCTCGCTGGGTGGCAGTAGCAACAGCCTGTGGAGGAGGGGGAGGAGGAGGAGGAGGAGGAGGAGGAAGAAGAGGAGGGAGCCCTCACTGCACTGGGCATACAGATCCTGCAGTCCCCTCTCCCTCCCTCTCTTCCTCACTGAAGGATGGCCACGCCCCCCGCCCCCCCTAAAACAACACCAGGAAGTGGTGGTTCAGTTACAGCAACACTGCCCTATCCAGAGAAGCTAAGGAGAGAGAGAGGGAAGAGGGCGGGAGAAAAGAAACATTGGGAAAACACAGCAAAAAGATAAAAAAAAGGAGAAATGAACGGGAATTAGTAACAGGATAAACACAGAAGCGAGGAAAGGTCATGCAGAGTGATGAAGGGCATTAGAAGTAAAAGCTGGGATAGACATATTAAATATAACCAGAGAGGAGAGACTAACACATAAGGGACAAGGGATTTAATGAGGTAAGGATGAATAATGACAAAAAAAGCAGTTGGAAAGAATGAATGGATTAAGGGGTGTGGAGGAAAGAATTACGGAAATAAATGTACAGGGAGTTTGCGACAGATTAGGTCTGGCTTCTGTCTGGATCTCCTTCTCTATCTTTCGTACTACCTTTCTGCTGTGGCATGCAAACCCCAGACACCTCAGCTCAGCCTCACACTCACAGCTCTTGCCCACACTATAAAAGCAGGACACACTGAACTGCACTTAATCAAACTGGACTACGCTAGTAAGTGGTTATACATTAGGAGTAACACAGAGCGTGTAAATACTCTGGAAATGAAAAGATGCTGACCAACGCAGTCTGGTTGCAGGTCAGCAGCGTATAATAAAGAAGGCTAACTGAGACAACGTTGAGGCAACTGCTGCTGCCAACTCTCCCGTATTGTTGTTGATTCAAGGCTTCTGCCGCCACAACCCTTGCATCCAGGGGAAAGCCAGAGAGGCTAAAGGAAGCCTCCAAGAATTTGATTTGGACCTGATGCTGCAATATCCGGTAGCCATGGAGATAGTGGCCTTGGCATCTGCAGGAATCTTTTTAGATTTTGAACCGTGTGCTGACGCCAAGTTTTTCTGACTGATCCTGCATATTGTCTGTGACGCACTTCATTTGATTGTGGAGAAAGTGCATTCATAATACTGCCTATTGGGAATGTTGAAAATGGCTTTGAAATGTAAGTTCACTTACAAAGAAAGTTAATTCCGCACACTGCAGCTGAATCCGGTTTGACTGCATACCTGCACCAATATATTCTCAGGGAGATGTGAGAATCCTGTCTTTTTTTAGTGTATTTGCATATACATTTATAATACTGTCCCACTGCCTTTCCTATGTAAAATTGTCACACCTGTCTTTTCATTTCTCACCTTCCTCTGCTCTCTGGACTGGTTTCTACTGCTGCACAGCTCTGTTTGATACAAAGCTGGTGATAAGTCATCTCTAATTTACACTGCAGGCCCTTAAACCCTTAGTGACAATCTGTGGTAGAGCCCTAGCTACGGCGCTAACCCTTTACCTAGCCAGTATTCTGGTGCAATTTGCCAACGTGCTCAGAGAGAACAAAGCGCATGTTTCATACTTCAGACAAAAAGTAGATATCACAGCACCTTTTTTCTGAGTTGACTGAGTTGATAACAGCAGAGTGCAAGTCTTGATCAATTTCCAACTATCATTCATTAGTGATGGAAGGAGATCTATTTTGGAACCATGGAAGCAGCCCTGCTAGAACACACACAGTATGTCTTTTAGATTAGACGAGCAATCTGTTTGACTGCTGATCAATGGAAGCAGCAGGTCACTGTAACTATCCATTTGGAGTTTTTCTTGACCCATAATGAAGAAACATGGTGATTGATGTTACCCTGGCTCAATAGGAGACACAAGCAACGCCTCCAAAGATCTGGTCTCTCTGCGAAACTCAGACACTGACGTGGAATTTCCCCTCTTCTGCTGCAGCTGAGTGCATGCCAGTGCTTCTGCTCCTTTCTCTCTCTGCGTCTTTCTTTTACTCTTCTGCCCCTGCTAGTCCATATTTCCTATTCATTATCATTCTTCGTATGAGTCTTTTCATCACTTTCTGTCACTCATGACTACATCTTAATTCCCCTAAATTTGCCCCTAAACAACCACAACCACTTTTCTATGTGTCACAACCCACAGATCCCTATTCCTCTAGTCCAATTACAAGTAGAGCTGAGCTTTGCAGTTACCAGATGGTTTGCTCATTCAGTTCTACAACAAAGGTTTTATTCTGCATATAATCTGATCGAACGTACAACAGGAACCAGTTTCTCATTTCTAGGTCATATTTCTTTCACTAAAGTCAAATCAGCCAAATATTTTTACTTTCTTCTCCACATGCCTCGTATCTCACAGAAGAGAGGATGGTGTGACCGTTGTACTATCTAGGAGATCAATGAGGCTTTAGAGCTGTTTAAGTATGAGCAAAGAGCAACAGGAATCAACATACTGGGGTTGCGCAAACTGTTCACACACATACTAATGTTCACCATCTGAAAACAGGAAGAGGTGTGTGTGTGTATGCGGTGCAGTTAAAGGGGAATCCCACTGATTTTACACATCAAGATCAGCGAACTAGTACCCATGAAAACAATCATGTAATGTTGTCTGTGGCTCCAGAGGAAGCGTAGTCAAGTCTTTTTACAAATAAAAAATACAATACAAATAAAAAAGGGGAAATACTAAATTGTTAAAGAGGAAAGTAAAAATGTAGTTTTACAAGGAAGTGCAGAATATTCTAGAAACTCCCTCACACTCTAATCTTCAATAATCAATCACATTAACCCCAAGCCAACACAATCTAACATGGCTGACCTCCGTACCTCAAACCACCAAATCCTAACCCCTCACCTTTGTCCACCCTTATTTTCTCTCCCTCCTTCCTGATGAACACAACTTTCCACCTTAAGCTTCCCTGTCATCTCAGCACTCTGCTATTTCCCAGCCCTCTGTAAATGACACTGGCTGGCTGATGTCAACTCTCACTCCACTGAGGAAATGTCCCAGAGCATTTTGTATGCCAAACTCTGACGGCTCATCTATCACTAAGGCCGCAAATACACATTACACTCCCATTACAGACCATCACAGCAACAACTGCAACAGTACACAGTCTTGCAGAAAAGCCAGCAGAGAGCTGTGTTCAACGTCAGCCGTTTTGCTATCCCTTATTTTAGTGGCTGCAGAATGAGAAAGCAAAAATATTGTCTTGAGGTCATTTCTACACTCAAAACAATTCCTTTGTGATGATTTGCTTTAGAATAAGTTGGGTACTCCTCTAAACAAAGATGTTAAATATGCTACGCATTACTAAAAATGTACATGAAAGTGGGACAAGTTGTAAATGTGTGTATGCTGACAGGTTTTATTCTGGTGTGAATTTGCAGTCATGTTTCCCTGCTGCATATTTTGTGGTTTTCTCTTAACTTCTTTCCACTTTGACGCAGTGAGGGGAAGCAGGTGCAATTCAAGCTGTCGGGTTTGAAATATACAGAGAGGAAATAGCACACTGTCTTGTCCCCATCTGACACCATTGTGTGTGTGTGTGTGTGTGTGTGTGTGTGCGTATGTGTATGCACCATTCCAGCTTGAAGCTTATCTTGGAGATAAAATAAAAACGAATGGAAACACCCTTTGCAAAGAGGCCATTCACTTGAGCTTTTAGCTATTTTTCTGTCTAAATGTAGCCAGCAGATACACTGCTGCAAATATTTAGAAACTCTCCCTACATAGCAACTTTTTACAAACACTTCACGGTACACAGAGACATGAGAAAAGGTTTCATAAAGAGAAATAATACTGCAAATGTTGGATTTCCTACAGCGTAGCTAAGTATCAAAGAAACTTTTTTTTACACATTAATGAAATCTTATTTGACAAATTAAAACACCGATTAATACCAAAAGTCATTTAAAGTCAAGACATTAATTCTACCAATAGTGATGCTACAGCAAGTGAGCTTACCTGTTTGTCTGTCTATCGCTGACGTGCCACTGGGACAGACGAAGTCACTTCAACCCAGGTCACGCCGGCGCAATGCATTGTGGGATGAACTAACATCTTCATTTCTCTCTTCCTCTACTTTTCTCTCTCTCATCTCTCTCGCTCTCATAATAGCACCTTCTGCTTGGCAACGGCCATACCACAAATGTGGTTAGGTTTACAGCGAACCATCGCTGCGCAACATCAAGTCTCCATGACAACCACTCCTTATCTAATTTGCATCTTCTGCTTGCATTATGAACTGACGCCAAATATGGTCACCTTGTTATTTTCCCCGCCTCTCTCTGCATCCCCTTTTTATAACTTCCTCTTTCCTTCCATTTTCACAACGGTGTGAACACTCTTTGTGTCTAATGTATATGTGCACGCAGACATGTGCATTTGCTTGCAGCCTGTGAGTGTGTGAAAAGAGGAAGTGCCTGTGACATTGAGAGATAAGCAGTGAAACTGCGTTTTTAAATCAGGAAGTGGGGTATTGTAAAGGTTGCTGTTGAGGGACTTAAAAAAGAAAGGTGACTCGCAGTATGTTATCACAATCCTCCCGTGGCAGGCATATCATCACAGGATTTCACTTACCCCCTCAGTTCTTCTTCTGTGAGGTTGGTGTGGGCATTGGCCTCCTCCTCTTCCTCCCCCAAAGACTGTGTCTATCAAACTATCAGTGGAATGTTGAACCAGGCCCCTGGAGCCCACACACACAGCAACACTCAGCAGCACTCAGCACCTGTCTCCGACTGCCAGCACAAAGAAAGAGACATGGTCAATCACACTGGACAGCACAGCAAAGGGGAAAGAGCAGAAGAGAGTGGGAGGCAGACAAGCATTCTATCAGCAGAAAAAAACAACACACTGAGCAGGTTGCATGTTATGTGCACATGATGGTTTATGCGCCTAAACAAAAAAGGTTAAGACAAGTTGCAAAATCTGTCCCATGCATGTTTTTCAAATTATGACGCCACATATTTCAAAATTCTGCATCACACATACTTGAAACTACTAATATCAATACACTAGATATAAGGAGGTTTGCAGAGCAAACTAGGATGTAGTGACCCCAAAACAATAACATTTTAATTTCAGAAATCTTATTTCTGCCATTTTGGTAACTTCTTGTGCACAAAATAAAAATGTTGTTAAAAAGTGCATCTGCGCTATTTAGTGACATTTATCAATTACATTTGAAGTTGAATATCTATTCACATAAGCCTATATAATTTAACAGACCTCTTCCTGTCCTCTACATAAAGCAATTTATTTTTGTACCATAAAGCAGTGGTTCACAACCATGGGTTCTGGACCCCCTACGGAGTATACATCTGAGGGGTATTCTCAGACTCCCCAAGACAAAACAATACTTCTACTTCTACTTGTCCACGTTAAGGCTGTAGCCTGTAATGTGGACCCACTGCTGTACAGGAATATTGTGTTGTCTGTATAAAGTAATTATACGATCACTAAAGTTAATCTGGTGATAATTTATTGCTGTTAAAATGCCAAATATCATAGTTTCATGTTTCTTCTCCATTTAGTCATAATATTATCAAGAGATGTAACCTTTCATCCCAAGCTTTCTAGACACATCATTTCTCAATCTGACACTTTAACTTACCCAGACAGTGTCTGGAGAAGCTCTGAGGAAGCATCAGAGGCCCTGAGCACCAGACGGTCTCCCCTACTCTGGGCTGCAGAACTGCTGGGACTCGGGGGATTGGAAGTCAATGAAACCAGGCCTAATTTAGCCTCTGCTGCTCCGTTAGCTGCCAGGAATCAGAGTGAGACTCCTTCCCTTTTTAGGGCTCTCTGGACACTGCGGTCTGCAAGTGGCACTACTGCATTCCTAGCCACACTAAGGAGCTGGAGAGAGAGAGTGAGAGAGGTGACAGTCAAAATTTGTCATACGGAGGCGCCATTTTAATTATTATCTAGGTCTAAAAGTCATAACCTTACACAGTGGGAACTAGGTAAATATTTTAACAAAGCTCTTATTTATTGAAATGACTCACACCCTATTCAATTTCCAGACTTTTATCATCATCTAATCTTCACCCCACTTTCAGTAGATACATGGACAGCTTGGTCTTGTAAATGACTAAGGCACATTGCCCACTGTCACAACAGCTTGCCATAAAATCATACCAGTAATTAGGTGTGAAAAGAAGACTAATCAAAGGGGCTATTCTTACACCATCCACAGAGCCAGGCCCTGACACTGTGTCATGTAATCTTTAAAAACCCTGGTCTGCACTCAAACTAGATGCTGCCAGCCTAGAAGTGCATTTTCTCTCCATTGTGATCCGGTTGATTTTTATGTGGCAGACGGAGAGAGGCACTCAAGTTTCATTTACACAAGGCACACAGTATTTTATTTTAGTGTTTAAGTTTAAAAAAATAAATAAACTTCCTTCCACGGATTAAAGCAGCAAAATGAAATTCAACATGATGATGTGTCATTTCTTTAAAGACTAAAAAGTAAAAAGAGACTGGGCAAGGCAGCGGTACTCGTAAAAATGATAGACACGTCACTATTTATTAACCGTGGCAGCATTTGTATTTAAAATAAATGGATTAGATGAGGATTACTCATTGAGCCTCTATTCCTTTCCCATCCTTGTGTTTTCTACTTGTGATATGACTACACATGTATTAATGAAGACAGTGATCGCATAAGTCATGGTATGGAACGCACAATGGGATTAACTGTGAGATGAAGTCTTATCCTCACCTCCCCGCCTCATACATGGCTGCCGTTTTACTGCTAGTGTGTGGAATAACGATTCAAACGGACATAATCCCGTTAGTCCATTCAAGGTCCCTGTCTGACCACCATGCATAATGACGAGATAAAAAGGCTATTAGGGCAATATCCATTTGTAACAATTTTTATAAAAAGAATTATTAATGCCTCTTGTGTCTATTAACTATTAATTCAATTAATCTCCCCTCACAAGAAATACATATTATAATTTTTAAATACCGTTATTGTTTTACCCCTCCACCAACTATTAAGGAGTTGTTTATCCCGCTTGTTCCATATCTGACATCTGCAGTTCACTGGGAAGCTTCACAACTCCTTGGAAATCCTTCTACCATCTAACAACATTTATGTGAATGATGAGCTCATCGACTTTCTTCACCCCAGCATGCAATTAAGAGACTATTAAGTACCGAGTGACATCAATGAAATGTTAAATTCTATTATCATGGTATTTAAGTTGTACCATGTCTTGCCGGTATGTTCAGATGACAGCTAATCATCCAGAAGTTACAGAAGTGAATTAATAATAATTGTTTAATTAATGATAAAAACAAATTAGTCATTCATTTTCTCCGCTAAATATTCCAATCTGAGTTCAATTAAGTCTTACGTTGCTGTTTATTTAAAAATGAACAGGTGATGTAGTCAAATGTCAAATACACAGTACTGATTATATATCAGTTAAATCATATAGCATACTGAAAATGAAATGGATGATGAAGATATTTATAGACACTTTTTGAGATGTGATAAATTTCAAACAAACAACATTCATGCTCTGGAGATTTAAAAGCAATACTTTAGTGCCTACATGAATACTGAAACAGTTTTTGCCTGCTGTAATCATTCCTCCTGCTCACACTGGCCTTTAAGAAGGCCAAATTGCTTCCAATGTAAGTAACAAAGTGCCAAAATTCCCAGACAGTGTCTAGTCTCATATAACAATATCATGAATTAATTTATTTTTATTATCAACCACTATATTGCCTGCAGTTATAAGTGACTATGCCTCACTGGGCTGAGGGTAAGTACGGAAAAAGGGTTCAACCACCAAACACAGGTCTATGTCAAAAACATTTTCTATACAGTGCAAGACCCTCCACTTAGTAACATAGCAACCAGTGAACTCAACATGATACCTATTGTAATTCTAAAACTAGCTAAGCTGAGCGCCAGACATAATTATATCTCTCCTCAGCCAATCACATAAGCCTGAGCCATAAATAACAGACTGCACCCCTACAGAGCACCAGTCTGTGCCGAAAAGTCAACAAACACTTTCTGCAGTAGTGGTTCTTGCTCACTACTGGATTCGTCTTGCTCTGAGGAGGACAAACAGAGGGGGGAAGAGAGACAGAGGCCTATAGATTTACAAAAAAAAGAGTGAGAGAGATAGAGAGAGTAGAAAGGAAAAGAAAAACAAATGCAGCCTATGATTACTGAGTTATAATGAAGGCTGTTAGATGGGACTGTGGCTATGAGCTATGTCATTAAAGACGGTGCAGAGTGGCTGGAAAACCTACAGGTCTTTATTTGAAACACTGGCATGCTGGAGGACAAGGACGCATAACACGGGATCCAAAAAGTCCTTTCACACAGCTTCTTCAAAGTTATTACAACATTTCACAAATATTACACTGATAATCTTAATAGCAGAAGCTCTCTTGTAAGCAGTAATGGCTCCACTTTCAAGCCTTATTACCCAGTGTGTGTTTTTGCCAGACAGCTACCGCAGAGCTCTGTGAAACAGCTTAGTCTCTGGGGCCTTATATTTAGATTTTACGACCAATATTGAATTCTGACCCCGGATATTTTCACCAGGGTGATTTAAGGTGTCACCTCGATAGGGCAACAAGTTATGGCAGCAATTATGATCAGATCACATCACATCACATGGCTGGAAGAGGACATTGGAGCATTTGTTCCCTCTTGGTGATGAGAGATGGGATCGGGGATGTGTCTGCACATAAGGCATTACTAACATGTTACAAAGTAAGAGCACTTATTTTACTTCAGGGATTTGAACATTTATCTAACCTCGTAATGTCATATCATCATTGTCATTGTGGTGACAAGTCACAATGACAAAATGGCTGCACACACACACACAATGACCAAGTCAATTCTGAAGTCTCAGTGTCATTTTTAACTTGCTGCAAGACCTTGTCGAAAAACGCACCCAGTTTTTAAGGGTACATGATCTTATCAACGCATGAAAATATCACATCTTGACATCTCTCCTCAGATATGTAAACATGACTAATAGAAGCACCATAAGAAATCCTTGGCATGTATCACGTAATAAAAGCAGATGTGACCTAATTTCTCCTGCACTCCTATGCTATTTGTTTTATTTAGCGCCTATCTTATAGGGGGGTGACACTTCATTATGACAAGTGAGTCATAATCTTATTCTTGTTTGTGACATGTAAAGCTTACGTGGCGGTACATATTGACTGAGATTAGGTCAGTATTGGTGTTTTGGCATAATGCTGCCATGATGGAGTTAACATCCCTGAGAACAACTGCCGTATTTTGAGGAGGGTAACATTTTTGGGGAAGCATAAGCTTCGCATACTTGTCATTTTTTAGATTGTATGCCATGAAAAGGACCACAGTAGAGCACAGTACCGGCCTGTAAACGCTTAGCCTTGACTGTAACCTTAAGATTTTATGATTGTATCATTAGAATGTGATTATTATATGGTTATGATGTTATTCACAGGATCATGTGACTATAATTACAATGGTAAAGTTGAATAATTGATTAACAGTATCACATTATCTGTCATAGGTAGTGCCCTAATAAGAACAGACAAATCTCTTCAATCTCCTTATGCAAACCTGAAGGACAAAAGTATTCTTGTTCGAGGTGAGGAGACAGTGTGTGATGCTACAGGCACAACAGCGTGACCCTTCTTTCAGCTCCTAGGACGTTTTCTTCAAGCCTCCCTATTGGGATTCTGGTAGCCTACATTCCCTGCTTCAAGGTCGACAGCAGTGGCAAATTAAATTACTTGTCCTGTTTTGTGGTGTTGGCGCCAGGTCAACAGCAACTTGGCTAAAATGATGAGTGCGGGATTCTGAAGGGAGCTGCGTTTGTCCTGAGCTTCGGGTGTCATGTTTGCAAAGCAAGTAGCAGCGATGAAAAAAGCTGAAATCAAAAGCAGTGTATTAAATTCTGCTTCTGTAATCACTAGCAAAAAATCAATTACCTCTGCTTTCAAATGCACCACTTTATACTGTTGTTGTCCTTTGGGTTTACCCTGCTGCTGGGGGATGTCATGTGCTTGCACATGGAGTGAAGCTGAGTACATTAGGCCTAATTTTGTTAAACTCAGACTACAGCACACGCCACCTGCTGGGCATTTTGGGTATGATAGGTGGCAAAAGTAAATGTTAAATGTTTTTTTTTTAAATGTGTTGTTACTGCGGCTGAAAGTGATGACTTTGTATGTGCCCACCCACAGTAATTTCACAGTTAATGTAACATCACTTTACACAAACAATCTTCGTCTTCATTCATTTCGACAATCACAATGCACTCATATCATGTAAGCTGTCAGAATCTCATGTTAGCTGTCTCTACAGCAGCATGTGGAGTTTATCTCTCAGTTGCTGAGAGGGTTGTTATCAGCAGACAAACAGCTTACACACCACACTGTGGAATGGGTGGAACTCAAATGTGTGTCATGGACGTCTGTCTGCAATGATAGCACAAATAAATAAGGAGTTCACTTATCACCAAAGATTAGATATAGGTGTGTTTTATTGTATGCTTGTAAGATGAAGTAAATTGTAATTTGCCCATGATATGCAATTTGCTCAGTTAGATGCACTACAAGGCGAGCTAACCCACCACAATAACACATGACTTCTGAACTCACTTCCTGTGCCAGAACCGCAGTTCACATGACAACAACCTTATTGTCAATATCAGAGAGGATGTTACCTGAAAAAGGCAATGCACAGCATTTTCTCATCTGATACATGCAATTCTGTAAGTAATCTTC